CCCCCCACTCCAGCAACCCTCAGTTTGTTTCCTGAGATTAAGAATTCCTCATATCAGTGAGGTCATATGATACATGTCTTTCTCTGATTGCCCTAAGTCCTTTTTAAAAAAAAAAAAAAGATTTATTTATTTATTTGAGAGAGAGTGTATGTGTGCACACAGAGTGGGAGGGAGAGAGAGTAACCTCAAGCAGACTCCATGCTGAGCGCAGAGCCCAAAGAGGGGCTCAATCCCAGGACCCTGAGATCATAACCTGAGCTGGAACCAAGAATTGGACACTCAACTGACTGAGTAACCCAGGCACCTCCTAAACCCCAAGTTCTCATCATAGCCTCTTTGTCCTCTGTGATATTTCTAAATCTCTCTAATCCCATCTCCTACTGTGATATTGTGATTTATAATAAAAGAAATTATATTTGATCTTTGGTCCAGTTTCTGACACAGAGTTCTTAAGACCCTTGGAATTTTCTAAGTGATGAGAGCAATACAGGTGATCTTGTTATGTTAATGAGGTCACTTTTGGACTGTACCTAAGGATGGCGGCTGGTCAGCATAGGAACTAACCGTGTGGTTAGACAGATGGAACTTTCAGTCTCACCTCCAATGGGGGAGAAGAGAGGGCTTAGGATCGATTTCTATCACCAATGGCCAATGATTTAACCAGTCATGTCCTTGAAATGAAGTCTCCATAAAAACCCAAAAGGACAGGTTTGGAGAGCTTCCAGGTTGGTGAACCCATGAAGATTTGGGGAGGAAACTCTACTCTGCACTCTTTTCCTATACTTTGCCCTCTGCCTTCTATTCCATCTGGTTGTTCCTGCGTTATATCTTTTTATAATAAACTGTTCCTATGGTAAATAAAATGTTCCTCTGAGTTCTGTGAGTCCCTAGCACATTAACTGAACCCAAGGAGGGGGTCACTGGAGCCATGAATCTATAGCCTGTGAGTCAACAGCCCAGGAGACAACCTGGACTTGCAACTAACATCTGAAGTGGGGGAGTAACAATCTTGTTGAACTGAACACTTAACCCATGGAATCTGATGCTATCTTTGGATAGAATTGAGTTGAATTATAGGATACCCAGCTGGTGTTGCAGAATTGCTTGGTGTGGAATCACCCACCCACCCCCACCGACCCCTATCCTCAGAATAGGGTACAGAATCTTCATCTACCCTTTCTCCTTCTCTCATTCCCTTCTCTCAGCCCCACTAATCTCTCCGCTCTTTTTAGAGCATGTGAGCACTCCTGTTTCAGGACTTTCTCACTGACTCCTCCTCCTTTCTGGAGCTCTTTTTTCCTAGGCATCTCCATGGCTTACTTCCTCACTTTATTAAGGTATCCTCTTAAATGTTACCTTATCAGAAAAGCCTTCCCTGACCACTCCCACCACCTTCCTATCGCTCCCTCTCTGCTTATCCTGAATACTTTTTCTTTGTGTCATTCATACAGCTTTTTTTTTTTTTTAATTGACCATCCTACTCCTCAATCCCTATCAGATGTAAGCTCCATAAGAGCAGGAACTTAATTTGGTGTGTTCAGTGCTGTGTTTCTAGGTTTTAAAACAGTGCCTGGCACCTGGTAGTAGATAATTATTTCTTAAAAGAATCCTACTTGCTTAGGGACAATCACTGTTAATGCCACAGGACCTATCTTTCATGTGTTTTTATAGTTGAATATGCACAGGGAACTTTTAAAAATATATATGTTCGTACTCCTCAGGTTCCATACTAGATTTTTTCACTAAATTATGTGTGAACATCTTTCGTCTTTTCTGCAATATCTTTTTAGATGGCTACAAAACGTCCCATTGTATGGATAATTAGTTTAAATATCTCTTATTAAATATTGAAATTATTTCATCATGAACAAATTTGTGGTGAACATCCTTACAGATTCAAAGATATATATAAAATTTTCTTAGAATAAACTTCTAAGAGTAAATTTTTTTCTCAAGCTGCCCTATGTTTTACCATTTATATTCCCATCAGCAGCATCTGAGAGTAACTTTCTCACTACGTTCACTAATATTAAGTTATTTTTCTATTGTCAAGTAGCCAGCTTTTGTTTTATACTTAAATACTAATAAAATTAATTTTTGTATGTTACCTATTTGCATTGTTTTATTTTGGGATTTTTGTTTCCATCCTTGGCCTACTTTTAAAATTGAAAACATTTTTGTTTGGAACAATTGGCTTTTTCTTACTGATTTCTAAGGGCTGTTAACATATTAAACTTTGGTGATTTTTTCCCCTGGTTAACCATGGAAGGAGGATTGAAGGAGCTGGACAGACGGAGAAGAGGGTGGAAAGGGAGAAGGCACCCAAACCGAAGGGGGCATTTTTGCCTTTGCTTCTTTCTTGAGTGCCAACCCCACATTTCTTTCTACTGCATAATCTCGTGGTATCCTAAACTGCATGGCTAAAATGAATACCCTCTTCTCTTCCCATGTGATATATTCCTGTTGACTTCTCTTTGTATTCACGATGCTGCTCCTTCTTCTACTTCTCAGGGCAGAGCCCTCTTGGTCATTTTTCTGTCTTTTCCCATTTCTTATTACCAGTTTAGACCATCAGCACCTTGCATGTTGGCATCTTGCAATGGGTTCACTTTCTCTCTACTCTTCCCACTCTGATCTGTCTTGCACACGTGCACAAAATTAATCATTGTGAAGCCTGATTCTGTACCATTTCTTTACTAAAAGTCCCTTAATGTTTCCCCATTATTCAAAGATCACCTTGTAGTGATTGGCGTCAGAAGTCTTCTGTGACCAGAAATCACTCGCTTTTCTCAGTTTATTGCTCACCCCCTGACTTCGTGGTCCAGTCTTTGACCATACCAGCTCTCTCCTACTGCAATGCCTGTAAGTCATGCTGTTCTGTCTCAGAAATTCTTGTTCTTTTTGTATTTGCTTATCAAAACCCTTCTCATCTTTCAAGACTCAGATCAAATACTATATCTTTTTTTAAATATTCCCTGGTCAGGCAGTCCAGAAGGGATCTCTCCTTCTTTCAAACTTTCATAATAATTGATTTCTTTGTCTCTGATAAGCAGTTGTTTTACTGACTAGTTATTTTTTTCTGTTTTATTTAGTCTCGTGGGTTATAAACTCCTTGATGTCAAATTTCTTGTCTTGTTTATCTCTCTTGCTACAGCATCTAGCACTTAGGCCTTGCACATAGCAAGTGATCAGTAAACTTTGTTTAATAAATTAGGGAAATGTGAACAGCTCAGAAACAATATTATAACTCTACATAAAAGGTAACAGTTGAATGTCATTCTTTCAACCCCTCTTCCACATTAGCCGGGTTGTGGATTGACAAAACTGGATTTTGTTCCTTTCTTTATATCTGATTGTTTACATATGGGATTGAACTAGGATGAAATTATAAGGTTGGAGAAAATTGCCTTTTGTTTTCCTCTACCGCCTTACTTGTTTTCAGGTAAAGTCAGACTTCATTCTATCTTCTTGACTTCAAAATGCACTTACTAGGGGCACCTGGATGGCTCAGTCAGTTAAGCGTCCAGCTCTTGGTTTTGGCTCAGGTCATGATCTCAGGGTCCTGGGATCGAGCCCTGTGTTAGGCTCCATGCTCAGCGTAGAGTCTGCTTGAGATTCTTTCCCCCTCCCCCTTCCTCTCCCTCCCCCTCCTCTCCTACCCCTGCTCATGTGTGTTCTTTCTCTCTCTCTCTTTTAAATAAATAAATAAACTAACTAACAAAATCTTAAAAAAAAAATGTATTTATTAGACCTGGCTACCATTCTCTAGAGAGTAGCTCTCAAACTCTGTTTAACATTGGACCCACCCAAGGAGCTTTGAAATTTCTGGAGCTCAGGCCTCACCCAGACCAATCTGTGTAGGTACAGGCATCATTATTTGTTTTGACATCTTGCCGGGTGACCCCAATGTGCATCTAAGTTTGAGGACCACTATAATATGGATTCTGTTCTCAAATCTTCATGTATGTCAGAATCACCTGGGGAATATAAAACAGGCCCAGATCCTAACCACCTTCAGCAAGCCGAGTCCTTTGTGCCTTTATGAGCTCTCCAGGCTATTCTGATCCAGCCAATGTTTGAGAACACCTGTTCTGGCTAAACTATCAGACAGCCTAATGAAAATCCATGGGTTTATTCACAAGGTCCTAGGGCGTGATGGTGGGAATTTCATAAAGCCTCTTTTGAGAACACATCAGGTCATACGATGAAAATGTGTTTACAGACCTTGCTGTGTTCATAATAAACATTTCCTGAATGTCAGATGGATATTTATTCATAGACTTAAACTATTTTCACCTTGGTTGTGAAACTTAGTGCAAATGAAGTAATTTATTTTTTTAGAACAAGATGACTATTGTTTTCTGTCTAAACAAAACAAAACACAACACAACACAACAAAAAACTGGAGAATGTGTAATGATCTGTAGGATAAATGCAAAGTATAATACTTCTCTGTAGATACTTGGCTGTCTCTGGAGTGGGTGGGAAATCATTCTGTAATGTTGGATGCTATTTCTGTTAGAGCCTAAGGTGGGATATTGTACAGAGAATTTGGGTTTCCTTTGTTCATGGATAAAAATAGACTTAAAGGACTGTCCTTAACACTGGAAAAAGGAGGCATGAGTTTGTGACTATTATTACCTGTATTGGCCATCTGAATGCTTCCAAAGCTCAGAAAACTGAACTCCTGTCTTTTTTTTCCTGAACAGATACTGTGGAATTTTTCATTTTTCACATTGTTGGTTAGTATTCATTTCCACTCAGATTGATCAGGCACATTACATTTCTCTCTTTCTTTTGAATATTTTCATTCTAGCTTGTGTGCTCTTTAAAGTCCATTCCAGTGCAAAAAGGCCATGATTCCGATCCACTGGATTCTCCACTTGAAATAATCATGCTTTTGTCTCCAAATATGGCACTCTTAGCACGGATATCTCAGCATAGGATGAACACGTCTGCTCTACTTTTGATTTTTCCATTTATTTTCCCAAATAGGCTTTGCGTTTTGAAAGGTTTCATAGCAACTGAGTACCTGGGCCATTATCACTGACATAGAGTAGGTGTATAGCTTGTTAAAATGTATGTATAATATGTATTGATTTTAGTTAACAAGCAAATAAACATTTCAAGCTTTTTAAGCCTTTGTGAAAATTTCAAAGGCCCACAAGAGGAAATGGGTATAGATAATACAAATGACATATTAGCTCTCTAATTGTTTTTTGTTTTTACCTTATTCCCTGTCTGTTGTTATTGCTCAGGAAATCTTGTACTTTTTAGTGAAGTAAGGAATGACTGCATTTCCTTCTATTGTAAGACATTATTTTACAAAGTGACTACATCAGATATGCTAGCATGTATCAGCATTCATCAAAAAATGTAGGATGCGTTTCAGATGAATGAAATATTCCTTTTATTTGATAACTGAAGAAATCTACAATTGGAAATGTGCTTATAACTTTTTGCCTGTGGCTTTCTCTTGTATTGTTGTCATTTTTAAAAACACATGATGTGATACATGTTTATTTACTCTTTCTGATAACACTCATTCTTCCCCCACTTTCCTTAGAAAATGGAAGCACTGTTTCAGAATAATGCCATTGTGTGGGTTGTAAGTATTCCTGTTGGGCAACAGAGGGCACTATGGAGCAAACAGAGACTTGACAGGAAAAGAAAGGTTTTTGATAAATACAAGTGTCCTGGCTTATGCTGATTATTGGTGGTTGTCTTGAATTATCAAATTACATGTCCCAAGTCCCCGTTTCATTGAAAGAAGCTACAGTACATGTGTGGAAGGGAAAAATAGGCAAAAAATAAAGATGAGATTTTCCATGGCTGTCAGATAAATATTTCTTTTCAGAAGAGGACCAGTATTAAGAAGTACATTCTTTTTGTAACTGAGGTATAATTCACATGCCATGAAACTGACCGTTTTAAAGTATACAGCTCAGTGAGTTTTAGCATATTCACAAGATTGTGTAACCATTACCACTATCTAATTTCAGAACATTCCATTACTTCAAAAAGAATCCTATTCTACACTTGAAACCAGTATTATGCTGTATCTTAACTAACTGGAATTTAAATAAAAACTTGAGGAAAAAAAACACAAAAAGAATCCTGTACCCACTAGTAGTTACTCACCATTCCCTTCTCTCCCTAGCAACCACAAGGGCTACTTAATATTCTTTGGAATTGCCTATTCTGGACAGTTCATATAATTGGAATCACACAATGTGTGGCCTTTTGTTTCTGACTTCTTTCACTTAGCATAACGTTTTCAAGTTAGATCCACGTTGCAGCATGCATCAATACTTCATTCCTTTTTTACGGCTGAAAAAGTTTCCATTGTATCTATATACTGCATTTTGTTTATCCATTCATCAGTTGATGGATGTTTTGGTATTTTCCACTTTTGACTGTTATGAATAATGTTGCTAGAAATATCTGTGTGCAATTTTTTGTGTGAACATATGTTTTCACTTCTATTAGTTCTATACCCGGCAGTAGAATTTCTGATTCCTAGAGTAACTCTAACTTTTCAGTAGCTGCCAAACTTTTCCACAGTGACTATACCATGCTACGTTCCAACCAACAATGTGTGGCGATTTCAATTCCTCCACACCTTCACCAATACTTGTTATTGTCTGTCTTTTTGATTATAGCAAGTCTAGTGAGTGTGAAGTGGCATTTCATTGTGCTTTGATTTGCACTTCCAAGAACTAAAGTCTTATAAACATTTAAGATTCAGACATTTTATTTCAAAACTACAGTCTTCCCTGCTACATCTGTCTAAACAGACCCTCCTCTCGTTCTCTGGGGAGTCTGTTTGGCTATAATGGAATGAATTTTAACAGTGTTTTCCTTTTCCTTCTCCCACCTTCCCTCTTCCCCCTTTCCCTCCTTGCCTTCCTTCCTTTCTTCTGACCAGGTGCTGACAAAGCTACTTTCCTCATGGGCATTAATTCCTCTGAGTTGGTGAAGGGCTTGATCCATCCCAGAATCAAAGTTGGTAATGAATATGTTACTAGAGGTCAAAATGTAGAACAGGTAGGGTGATATTTCCAGAGCATTATGACTCTATGATCTTGTAATAAATGTATACATATTGTACTTGTTATTTTTCAGCTTCTGGTGATGTCTGCAACAAGAGCCTCTATAAAAAAGCAAGTAAGAGCTCTTGTGATGAGTGTTCGGAATGTTTTCCCTTGTGATGCATAGCACAGTAAATGCTCTGTGTTAAGAATCTTTCCAGATTCTTAATATACTGTTTGATACTTTTCCCGTAGGTAACAAGTCTCTTTGCAGATGGAGGCAAGCCTTTTACTTGTGACCAACATCTTTGTTGTCCAACTAAGAAGCTTTCAAAGCTATTAGTTCTGACATGAATAAAATTGGCATCCCCCGCCTGTTTGGAATACTGACTTTTTAGAGTAACAGGCACAGTAGTTGAGATAGGGTTTTAAAATATAGGCTCAAGTTAGTATTCGAAGGAGGGATGTTGAGAGCAGAAATGAGAGATCGAAGGTCATGTGGGTTTTGTGCAGCACCCAGGAGAATTGTTTTAATGATAAAATAACAAGTGCTCTGAGGACTGCCGATCCTGAAGCTTGGTCAGAATGCAGTAAATGTTCCCAGGGCTGCCGGATAATGAGACCATCTAAGTATGCTAGTGCATTTCAAAATAATAATTTACATCTTTAATGCATATGAGTCAGTATGTGATAGCCCCATGCTGCAGTAACACATATACACTGAAATCTCAGCTGACAGTAAACTAAATATTTCTTTCTTACATCAAGTCCAATACAGATTGGACCGCCTTCTTCCATATTGTAGTTTGGCCACCTGTAACACGTGGCCTCCAAAGATGCTGCACACGGTGAACAGATCATTTGTAGAAAAAGTACACCCACCTTAACAGCTTGGGGCTAGAAGTGATGTCATTTTCATTAATATTCTATTGGTGAAAATTAGTCTAATTACCCCCTTAGCAACAGGGGGGCTGAGAAATGGAAATTCCCCCTCTTTGCTGGGTGCTTTTCCAGAAATCCCTTTCTGGAAAGAGGGAATGGTACGATCACATGGAGTATGCATAAGACATTCACAGGCATTGTCTCCTTCTGTTCTTACAACAATACTCAGAGGTAAAGAGAGCAGGCATACTGATGTTTTCCCAGTTGGGGAATCTAAGGGTTAGGGAACATAAGTAACACTGCAAAGGGCACACAGCTAATATTCAGGTGACATTTAGATTGTCTTACTCTACATACATTTTAAATCTGAAAATGCGATAGACAAATGTACAAATCTGGGATAGAAGACAGTTATTTTGATGACAATAAACTCTATTTCTTTTTGGTATATTAAAGCATCTGGTGTGACTATGTTATTTAAAACATTTCAGCAATCTCCTAGTTTAACTTACTCTATCAATCAATAATTCTGCCTCTATCACAATACTAGACTGAACCCATCAGTTTCCATTTTTGCTCTCCCTCCTCACCGGACCTCCTTGAGGCTATGGGCTGTGATCAGTTCATTCTGGGACCCTTAGCCTCTAGCAGAGTGCCCTGCAAGTAGTAGGTGCTCCACAGACATTAAGGTAAACTAAATATTGAGCTGAATTTGAACCGTGATCAGCAGGACAAGTAGTTGAGCTATTGCTTATAGTGAGGTTAGGGGTGTTTGGCAGTTTCTTGCTTTTTAACACATTAGCCACGACATGCATGCATGACATACTATGATTATAGAACAGGGGCTTGCTCTGTGTAAAACTAATGAGCCCAGAGGAGGACTAAAATCAAACCTTCGCCTCTTTAATAGTGTGTTCCCAGGAACTGAGTTACCACCAGCCTTTACTATAATAGAACCAGTGAAGTAAACTGATGTATTATTATCCAACATTAAAAGAAAAAAAAAATCCTCATCTTCCATCCTCTCTGTCTCTTTCTCTTTCTCCTGCTCCTGGAGAGAGAGTAAGAAAGCACACTGTAAGGCTTTTCTTTTCTTAGGAATTTTACTGACTTTACAGAGACAATTGCCCCTGCTAAGAATAGAGATGTATATGCTCTGTTGATGACAATTGCAAAAGATGGCAAAAATTCTTGCAGTGTTAACACTTACAGAATTTGGTCCCAGCTCGAATGCTGACTAACTCTGGGACCTTGGTCAAATATCTTCACCTCTCTGAGTACCCAGCAAAGAGGTGGAATTCCTCCGTGTCTCAGTGGAGGGGTGACTGGAATCTAAATAGGACGATCCTTCAGATGTGAGTGTGTCCTGCACATTGTAGAGGTTTTGCATTCTTGCTCCCATGTGCTCACTGCCCATAGCACTCAGTCAAGATGACAGTTGGAAGAACGCCCTCCCTATTTTCAAATGCACTCCTCCTTTAGGGGCAGGTCCTATCCCCAGCTGAGAGCCACTACATGCCATTATCAAGAACTAATGTCCTTCAGGTCCAGTATTTTATGATTCCATGGGAGTTTTAACTATGCCTGTTAAAAATAAGTTGTTTTAATTTTAAAAAGATTAAAAATGATAAAAAAAATCATAATAGTAACCACTGAGCATATGCTAAGTGCTTTGTGTAGATGTCTCATTCAATTGGACAACAAGCCTACAAAATTTTTCTTTTTTTTTTGGAGAGAGAGAGAGAGAGGAGGGGGAGGGGCAGAGGAAGAGGGAGAGAGACTCTCAAGCAGACTCCAAGCCCAGCATGGAGCCTGAGGCGGGGCTTGATATCACGACCTTGAGATCATGACCTGAGCTGAAATCAAGAGTTGGGCACTCAATTGCGCCACGCAAGCGTCCCTACAAAATTGATCTTATTTATATTTCCATTTTATAGTTAAAGACGGTAAACTTTACAAAGATTAACTGCTCAAGGTAGCATAGGAAATATTGGAGGAAAGTTGGGGAAGTAAGAAAAGCAGAAAGGGGATAGGAGAGCAGGAACTAACATGCGTTGGGTACCAAGTGCCAAACGTTGTGTTATATATATTTACATCCTCTGTCTCATTGACTCTCTCCCTTTGACCTTGGCAGATGCATATTTTAATGTTATTTTACAGATGAGAAAGGCAGGGGTCCAAGTGGTTACAAATATGACTCCATTTCTGTTTGGTGGTTGTTTTTGTTCTATTGTATGCTATTGCTCTCCACTGATCAGGTTTCTGTGAGGTTATTTGAAAAAGAGCTAAGGAATGAGTCCGTGTAATCCCTGAAAAGTGGAAGTGTAGGTCTAGCTGCCTAAGTCTTCCTTCATTGGATAGAAAATGATGAAAATGATTCATTAGTAAGCCGTATGTTGGTTTATTGATTTCAGTCAGCAGACGCCATACCATCTATATCTTCCTCTGACTACATCTTCAGGCTTCTTCCTGTTTCTTCACTACTGTCCACCCCAGACCAGTTTCTCTCCCACCCCCACTTCCGAATATTTAGGGAATTAAAAAGGGGCAAGCAAGTTCGTCCTGTTCTTTTTAAAGTTTCAAAGTGACTGCTGTAGACAGAGAGTGATTTCCTCAGGGCTCCAGAGGATAAAAATCATTCTGTGTGCTTTATTTGTGTGGGTGTGCTCTTGACGCCCATAGTAAAAAACTGTAACGCCATCTGGCTTATGGATTACTGTGGCAATGACTCAAGATAACTGATCAGAGAGTGGGTGACTCATACCTAAATCACCACCAGACAACAACTGGCTCCTCTGTGTGCTCTCTCCTGGGCAGCTGAAGGATGGATGGGATAGGCTGCTTTTTAAATGTTAAGTGGTTGGAGCACGTTCTGCTTCCAGGCTTGGAGAATGTCCAGCTGAAATCCACTCCTACTTGGAGTTGGTCAGAAACCCACTACTCCAGCAGCACCTTTGCATCATGGAAGTGGCATCTGCATTTATACGGCATTAGCCAGCACAGAGTCTGGAGCTCTCCCCAGTAGGTTACGTTAGAGCCTTTGCCACATACCTCCAGGGGTGGGAAATGCAGCCTGAGTTTTACAGTAGGAGAATCTGAGTCAGACTGATGCACTAAATTGCCATTCTCCACATAGGGAGTTGAGATTAACCCTGGGAACTGATAGAATAAAGACTGTGGAAGCTGAGGCTAGAAAGAACCTTCAGGAACATTATTCAGGTGAAGAGATCTGCCATCCAGAGAGGTTAGACCACTTGCCAAAGGTTATACAATTTTTTT